GGCCCTGCTCTGAGCCCGACCAGGGGCTGCACCTAGGGATTAGGCCTGCCCTCTGCCACCCGGGAGCAGGCCTAAGCCAGCAGGTCGTTATCTCCCGAGGGGTCCCAGACTGCAAGAGGGCACAGGCTGGGGTGAGGGACCCCCCTGTTCCCCCTGAGTGCACAAATTTTTGTGCACCAGGCCTCTAGTTATTTATAAGATAACACTGCCTTATATTACAGCTTGTCTTGGCCTGTCTTATTTTTGTAGTTCCTTGAGTACAAGAACCAAGATGTATACATAGAACTGTCAACTACTATTTTAAGGACTTTAGATACATTTTAAAGTATAACTCACAAAACAATCCTGTGATGTAGTTCCTATTATCATCGTACAGACAAGGAAATTATAGTTTGAACATGTGAGATTGCTTGTTCAAAGAACCGCAATTACCAAGTGACAGAAACCTAGACTCAAAACCTGGGTCTGTCTGGCTTCAAAATGTATGCCTTTAACCATTTCACTCTCCAGCCAACTATAAAATTTTTTTTGTCTCTTTTACCGTTTTGTATGTTGCAGTATAAATGTATATTGCTAAATAAATTAAAATATTCATCATGTATCTGGCATACATTTAACATCCTAGTACATTTATAATAGACATTTTATAGGTCATTAACCAAACAAAACAGATATTAACTTATCAATTATTGCTCTTTTCTGATTTAGAGCAAGGTGTGGGTAGTCCTAGTTTAGAACAGGATTATGAATTTGTTTGATTCTTATGCAAAGACATACTTCTTTTTTTAATTAGTATTATTCACAGTAAACTTTGTGAATAAATATGCTACAAGAGCATTTTGCAGGTGCCATTGTCTGTTTAAAGTGTTATCAACAAATAATATACATTAATTAGCTTTCTCAGTGCCCCAGAATGACACAGTCCATTGAGATAGCCATGATCAGAACTGTTTTCCTTAGACTCCTCATTTATGGGTTGTGCTGGAGGTTTTCAACCTTGATTACATATTAGAATTGTCTGATAACTTTTAAAAAATTCCAATGCCTGGTGTCACTCTAGTGATTCTGATTTAATTAGAAAGAGGTGAGACCTGAGTATCCTTTAAAAAAAAAATCTCCCAAGGGATCCTAATGAGAACCTGTGACTGATTCCATTTTAACTGACCTCTTTCTTGGGGTTATTTTCTCATATGACACTACATGATTCTTCTTGCCTGGTACAAATCCTTGATATTCCACATCCATTTATTTTTTTTAATAAT